ACTACAAATAAAGAATACGCAGATGGGAAATGTTTTGCTTCTTCACCGCGTATTAGATAAAGGGGGAAAATTGTGATATGCAGTTGGTCGGATTTGGTTTGAATGCCCCATTTAATTTAAGGAAATCCGACAAATCATATTTTGCCCAAGATGACCCAATAGCTCATGCCAGAATTTAAAAGAATTTGGGTCCCTAAATCTCAAAAATCATCGCAACATGGTTTATTTTAGGTCAGACAAATTCTAAAGTGTATAAATAAAAACCACATAGGTTCACAAGAGTTTAAAGCAAACTCAAGTTAAATCAAAATTATCTGACAAATGCATATAATCCAAATATAGAAAAACCAAATAGTTTACCTTGACCATCTCGATAAGATCCACTTCAATGTCGACTACCTCCCCTCGTCCAAGCTTATGAATATTAGTTTGAATTATGACATGTGCTTCAGGCACTACGACTGAACCAAATTATGACATGTGCTTCAGGCACTACGACTGAACCAATTAAACTTGTATTATGGTTTCTCACAACAGCTGGTTGTGTTTTTAACAACTACCACTACGACTGAACCAATTAAACTTGTATTATGGTTTCTCACAACAGCTGGTTGTGTTTTTAACAACTATTAATGCAAGGATTAGTTCATAATGCTTTTAGTTGTACTATTGTAAGAGTACAATGTTACTTGTTGAATTCTATTCAGTCGAAGATTTAAAATGCAAAAATGGCTACAGGATAAGATCTCCTACTATGTTCATAGCTCCCCCTTGTCCACACATATAAGAAATTTTCCGAATTGTAGCATGTGCTACAAACACAACTCGTAAGCTAACTAGTCTGACATTGTGATTTCTAATCATCAATTAGTTGTGTTTCTTTGTATATATCAATTAAGAATGCTAAGTGTAATTTTTTGTCATGTACTGCTACTGGAGTATAATATTATTTGCGTGGAATGGAGAAAAGAACTTTTCGATCAATTTTGTGACTGTCTGTAATGTTCTGCTTACAGAGTTTCAGCTGCTAGATAATGTGGTACAGGGCTGAATCATATTTAGTCATGTATTTGAAATCCAAAAAGTTCTGATTCAGTTTGTAAGTTGCGTTTGAGGGAAGATTATTGGCTTCCATAGATCAAAGCGATCCTTCAGGGATTGCCCAGTGTAGGCTGTCTAAAAATCACAATAGATAGCTTATTCCCCATTAAATACCGATGATGGAAGTTACAATCTGACGACTTCCAGAATGCTATAATTTGAAGATTTTCATGTAGATCGATGAAGGTTATAATCTGACAACCTTCACAACAACCGATGAAAGCTCTAATCAACAGCCTTCACAATCAAACATCGGGAGTTACAATCGGACGACTCTCATATTCTCAAGGAGCCAAGATGAAGATTACAAGATAATGATCTTTGCAAAGCTATGACAAAAGAGATTACTTGTTGATAATCTCTCCAAAGCAAGACGCGGAACTCATCACCGCGCTCTAAGACCAAAACGCGGAGGTCCTCCCAGTGTATCAACACCAAAACACGGAGGTCCTCCCCGTGTGTCAACAGTAAAACGCTAAAGTCGGACCCGCGTTACAACATTAAAACGTTGGGGTCGGACCCGTGTTTTTCAATGCTCAGCGGGTACCCAACTCCGCGTCTCTAGTCTAAAATGCGGAGTTAGGGTCCTGAACGCCAACGTGGGCATTTGACTCGTTCAAACACGAGCTGAACAGTTGTACGAACCGTTTTCCCTTCATGATCTGAGGGATTTCTGCCCCACTTGGGAGCGGATTAAGGGGGGTTACACCCCTCTCAATCCCATTATGGAGAGAATTAAGGGGGCGGTTACACCCCTTAATTCCCTATAAATATGGGTAAACTCAATGGAGTTCAGGCTGGCATTTTCGGATCTGGGACTTGGCAGCGAAGGGTTGGATCTTCTTGGCTCGGATTGACCCTGGAGCTTGGCAGCAAAGAGAGGATCTTTGGAGCATTCTCGGATCTGGAGATCGACAACAGAGAGCTTTTATTCCTTGGCTTAATAACCGACTTTCAGTTCAAATCAACTCTTTCATGGAGTTTAAAACTCGTTCAGAGTTATCAACTCGTCCAGAGTTCTAAAACTTGCCACGCAAGTTCTCCACAACGTCAAATCGTGAGGAGATGATATCATTCCAGTGAATCAAGACGTGCGGATCGTCAACGGATAGCAAACTCGACGCGAGCATTCGAGGGAGGCACTCCATCGCTACTAAGAAGAACCCAGTTTTAAACAAAGGGGAGAATTAAATTCATTCTCCTCTCTTTTGTAATCGGAATCCAAATTGTAATTGATTTTGAGAGAGTACAAGTCAATTTTTCTTTCATCGTCTTTTTACATCGAATCTTTTCCAACATACACCCAGAAAAGTAAATACTTTTTTAGTGAGTCATTAATTTTTCACGTCTTAATTGATAAAGAAAAAATTTAAAGTGTTTGCCTTCTAGGCAAAGATATTTAAAGAATCAATAGATATAATCGTGTAAAAATCACAAGGGTGTCCAGTAAAAATGAACGTTCGAGGCCAAAGACAATTAATAATTACTATCATATATCATAGTGCACTAATCATGGGGACGAAAGATTAGTGCATGAGAAATTAAAAATATTCACATGTCCTATAACACTTGTATACCCAGAAGAGAGACTCTATCTCAAACTTATAAAAGATTTGACATCCTTTAACCATTGCTTGCATTAATAGCATTTGAAAAATTCAAGATCACATTTAATGCAAGAGCTTTGCTATAAGGACCTAAAACATGGGACCAATAGGGGGGGACAAGTGAGGTGTTCACCTTCTATTGAATAATGAATGGGCCATCATTAATAATGACCAACTCATTATCCAATAGGAGGGGGACATCTCACTTGTCCCCCTATTGATCCCATATTTTGGGTCCCTGAGGAATTTTTCTTAATGTAATAGCACTAGTCTATAAGCATTGATAGCATTTGGAAAATTCAACATCACATTTAATGCGATAGCACTAGTCTATAAGCATTGATAGCATTTGAAAAATTCAACATCACATTTAATGCAATAGCACTAGTCTATAAGCAGGCTAACAGCTAACAAGGGTCTAAATCATCTTTGATTGTTGAACTTAAACTCATTAGTCATATACAAATTCAATCAAAACTCTATAGTCCAAGATTAGTGGTGAAACACCCATTTGCTTACCACTGTATAAAGATAATGCAATAGCACTAGTCTATAAGCAGGCTAACAGCTAACAAGGGTCTAAATCATCTTTGATTGTTGAACTTAAACTCATTAGTCATATACAAATTCAATCAAAACTCTATAGTCCAAGATTAGTGGTGAAACACCCATTTGCTTACCACTGTACAAAGATAGAACACTTTGTAAACATATAAAAGCTCATATATGCATGTATATTATATGAAAAAGAAAAAATATAAGAAGCTTGTATAAAAGAATTCTCAAAAACCGTACAGAGGAGTAAAATTATTAGTCTGTGATCTATACTGGTTAGGGGAACAAACAGAAGAACCCATGCAGATGAAGGATGTGCACCACAAAAAGTGATATAAAATCCAAAGCTCCACATATTGAGTTTGCGAATTTACTTTTGTTTGCATCAGTAGTCATAAAACTAATTAACATGTTTTTCAAGTGCTTCAATCTCAGCTATCTGTTTGTGTAAACGTATTTCAAGTGAACGCTTCTTACGGGCCCATACGCCATATTTAAGATGGTCAACTATGAGAAACAAAAATAAATAAATAAATAAATAAAACCTTTCGAGTATCAAGTTTCCAAAAAACTGAGTTTTGTTTGAATAACAGTAAACATAACATAAACCAACTCTTCATTAACTACATCTCTTCATGCTAAACAAGGGTAATTTTTGTCAGTTTTCAGACATCTATCGTCAAATCAAATTAAACAATAACCGTTAAGACAAACAATCACAGATCTTAAACAGAGGAAAGAGATGAAGAAATTCATGAGATAAAAATAATGAAATTCATCAGGAAAGAAAAAAAAGGAGAAAGCGGTGATCGATGGTTTTAACGTACATATTGTTACAGAGGCATGATCGATCAACCGATAACGAAAACATGAAACTTTGTAAATAGATAAAGGTCGAATGTATTATTACCTTGTAGAAGATGTAAATCTAAAAATCTATTACTACGAACCGATGATCACGAACCGGCTAGTGTCACTCGTGTTGATAACGTGTTGTAATATAGTAAAGAAATGAAACAAGAGACAAGAGACAAGAGAAGAAGAGAAATTATAATTTTATTCATCTATTCCATTTCCATACATCGTACAATTTATAGATACATGATGAAAGACAAAAGGACATCAAGTTAATAGTCCACATACAAAGTAATGTTCACATACATTTTGTCTTTTAGATATCAACAAAATGTCTTTTAGATTTCAACAAAAATTATAATTTTTTTATTGAATAAAAAAATATTGAATGGTAAACTCTAAATACTGACTACCCAAATTTTGTTAAGGGCAGGGGCGTGCAACTAGGCATAGACAAGAGGGAGGATGGAAAGAGACAACGATGGATTTATTCGTATCTAGGAGAACACTAATTCTTCTTTGCACTGAAATTACACATTGAACAAACCACAGACACATTATGCATCTTCTTCGCTATCTTACTATAGACAAATGATACCGTTCACGCTCATGCAGTATCAGTCTTTGCAAGTGATAAAAGGAAACCAAATTGCTTATGCAGCTCATCGACGTGCAAATTGCCTACGGAGAAAAGAACCAACTATTATGGAGAGGTAACATACCATGAAAGCCCTATGCAATCTATGAAGAAGGCAGCGAAACACGACTAAGTACATTCTCGTCATCGTCCCCAAGAGGAAGAACAGGTTAAAAAATGACATGAATACACGGATCAAAACAAGAAAACTTCAGCAGCAACTTGTAGCGTGAAAAAGCAAGGCGGAAAAAAGAACCCCGTCCCTACATTGCAATACCAGAAGAAGAAACGAAGAAAAACTACCAATATAAAGCATTCTGCAAAGCACATTCTTTTAACTTCATAAAAGTAACTACAAACTGTCACACACAGTAATAGATTCAAGTGGGCGTCGAGCTGGGATTTACTAATGGTGATGATGCGCCAGAACCAGCCCCATGCATCGGTCATGCTCCATAAGCATGATGCGTGTGGCAAAAAAGAAACAATACAGTGAAGAAATTTATTGGTGCCTACAAAGTTCTGTTTTACTTGCTACAGGAATCACACAAGCAAGGCATAGCAATATAGATGATGATAGGTCTTTTCAAGCTTGATATCAGATGCATCCCTCTATTTTTATTCTTCCTCTTCGGCTTCCTCAAGCCAGTTAACAAACGGCTCAAGCGCCTTCACAAAAGTTTGCCTGCACATCATATGAAGGTTCAAGATTATAAAGATAGTAATTAAAAAAAACCAAAAGTTCCCAGCTTGTAGTAACTAAATAAGCAATAACGGACATTATTACATAGATGCCAACCAAGAAAAATTAATGGGGACACAGGTGTACTAGTATTCAGTTCCATTGGAGAACTTGACCAAGAAAATCAAGATGCTTGAAAGCAAGTCAAATAAATTAAAGACAGCTGAGTTTTGCATGTGTATGCATATTCTGGTGATCCTAACAAGTCCTATTAAGTATGGAAGCATTTGGCAGCGTAGATATCCAAAGAGCCTAAATAGAGCAGAGCCCATTATCCCACACCAACCACTAGGGCTCTTCAAATTGTCAGCTTTTCAAAGCATTGGACACTTAAGAACACTTCTCAAACACTTAAATATAACTTAGTGATAAATTATGACAATATGACTACTCATTAGCAATCTAGGTGTCCTACATTTAAGCTGTGAATGCTATGTTGTTTGTACAAGACCATTTGTCTCTTGCCTAATGTCTGATTGATTACTCATTGCATGTGCATTTTCAGGCATATTTACAAGAATATAGATGACTGCAAGAATCTAATTTTTGAAATGTCCCTACAAAGGATACTTCAACAAGACACTCAGGAGACTGCATGTCACCGAATATATACTGCTACTCAATCAAAGATGGGCAGGGTTCTTCATGTTACACTGTGCTCTAACTTCAAAAGTCCGGCTCAATTGATAAAGAACAAGGCTCCAAACCTTGTGATTGTAGGTTTGTGCCCCGCAGGCCACAAACACAAATCTTGATTTACTTTTAGCAAGAAATAAATAAACACAAAACTGATAATTATCTCATTTACAAGAAAAGAAGTAATAAGCATATGCGAAGGGTAAGACATGTTGAGGAAGCATATAATAAAGTGCTCTAAATTAGGATATATATAAATGAGACATTTCAGATGTGTTCAACAGTATTGGCTTTCTACAAGGTCTGTTGTAGTCTGACATGGATGTTGGTGTCTAAATCGGTATGATTTCATAATAGGTATCCACACTATAATAATTCAGAGTTTAAAATGTTGCAAACAATATTTCATTGCTTTTTTTCAGAATACAAAAAAATGCACTGATAATATACCAAATTTAAAAATAAAAAGAACTGACAGAAGGCACCAAGATATAACTACACACCTGCCCTTGGGATTTGCACCTTTACGGAACCAAAGAAGAATAGTATCCTCAGCAAGCACATCTTGATCATACAAAGACCTAATAATCTCTGGGAATAACTTCATCAGTTTTGCATCCTCATAGCACTGGATCTGGACTTTGTACATAAGCTCAAGTTCAAGTTTTCCACTCGTACAAAATGCATTCAAAAGTTCAGCCCATGTTTTCACCTGTGGTTGGGGGAAAAGATTCACAATGTAAAGAGGAATGTATACATAAATAAGAAAGATGAATGTAAATTGAATGTACTTATCTAAAGATTTATCCCAACCCTGCTGTAAATAGCATTATCAGTGTGCATACAACCCAAGCCCACATGAAAATATAACCATAAAGGGGGATTTAGGTTGATAACAAGTCATAAGAAAACTGAAGTATGACCTGAGGCCTAAACAAGTCCTAACAGTAATGAGAAGTCCCCACAAGCAAGAAATCAAATATTAACCAAGCAGTGCAAATGACCCCAAATATTGTAAAATAGAATATATTCGGAATAGAATGAATATGCCTTAAATACCATGAAATGCTAGCTGTGAGAAAACATCAGTTTCAGTACGTAGTAAAAGAAAAGATAATCAGTTTGCTACGAAGTACAGTTCACAACCACAGTCCCATCACCACAAGAAGGCTACCAATACGCGATGAATAGTTTGGAATCCCTGATTTAGAGCAGAATAACAAGACAACTGTACCTCCGATGACATGCAAAAAGACTTGGAATATAATTTTAATCCGCAAATTGGCTTATTCATTATCTCAAGAATGAATGTGATCAAGTATCCCTTTCATCTAGTACCTTTTCTACTTTAGGTAGATTTTAGAGGGATGATCAATTCACAAGGCATGGCCAAATAAGCTAGAGCTACCTCCTTGCAACTGGTTTTAAGATTTTATGACATGCCTCTACTCTAGTTAAGCTAACCACAAACCAGTAGAAGGCAATGTCTGGTTCACATGAAGTTGCCAACAACAGTACAACCTATATGAATGCTCTAGCAGTTCTCTCATCCTCAGCAGTAGGCTTCCCCATCTTGATAAGAACTGCTTAGGTGATCATTAAGGTGGTGAAATGGTGATAATGAGGAATGCTACAAGTGGAAAAGGTGGTGTTCCAAACTATATTTTCAATAATTTATCCTCAGATATCAAGGAACTTCTGGACACAATATATTACATACATCAACCACTTTTTAAATGATCAATAGTTTATTTACTTTTAAACATAAGGAAACTGAGTATGTATGAACAGAGGATACCTGGCGAAGTGCAGAATTTGCATTCTGCTGCTGATTCTTTCCAGACCATTGAACTGCATCCATTAGCACATCCCATAGAATGCGTACTACCTCAATATCAGGAATTTTAGTATCTTTCACCCGTTGCTTAACAGTCTCTATGACTTCAGTTATATCAGTCTCTTCGGCAATCTGGGTTGTCAATGCTGATTTCATCTCCTTCAGCTTGGACTCAAACATTTTCTTCTCGTTATACTCAACAAGAGCCACCAGCCCCTCCTTGCTGAAAGAATTGACCACAGAAAAGAGTTTTTATGTCAACAGAAACACACACAGATAGTACCTGAAAGCACTCTTCCAATTTCACGTAATACTATCCTGAAATGTGGTACTCTACTAATCTCATCCAATGCTACCCGTAGATTTGTTGTTCACAATCCAACACAAGCATTCTACAACAAATCAATATTTGGCACCAATTTTGACACCAACAAAGCATGCAGTTTACAACTGCCCACATTATGCAGATGATTCCGAGATAAGCCCAAAATTAACTTGCACAAAGTCTCCTATGCATTTATTTATAGCATATTTACATAAATCGTTAGATAAATAAGTGTATGGGGTTTTGCTGATCCCAAAATCCAAGGATAAAGGCTCTCTAGTTGTAGTCGTATTTGTTTTCCTTCGAAACCGTACAAAAATATTAAAAGAAAATTTTAATCTTACAAATTTGATTCAGTTAGGTGTCAAGGTACCAATTGTAACTATATGCTTTATAATGCAACTAGTCTTCTGCTGTATCAACCATAAGATCACACATAACAAAAAGGGAAGGAACTCACGTGAAATGCTCAGAGAAACCTTCAGCAGAACGTTTTGCACTCGGGAAGAAGTCAAGGAGATTATCCTCCATTTTCCCTCGCTTAAGAAGAGATATAAGATCATCTAAACTGTTATCAATCAAATATTCCCTGAAAAAATCAGTGACAAATGTAAGGACTAGCCCCTTGGCAACAAGATTATCCTTGAGCAGTGGCTGCATGACCGTCTCTGGTGGAAGCCCAGATAGCTTCTGGGAGAATGCAAGCGCTGTGAAAATAGCAAGCTTCTTTCTCTCATTCTCCTCAAAGAGCTCCAAGGACTGCAAGAATTTACGCATAACATTTTCGAGGTTCTTAATTAAGAATGGCCTCCGACGCAGGATTTTCTGTATATACAGAACGGATGGCAAAATTGCTTCACGCTTGGGTTCACAGTCTATAACAGAATAGGGGTGCCTTTCCCCCTCATCAGGCTTTGTTGTACCTGGTTGAGTACGGCCTCCAGTGAAGACAACCTGCAGGTTAGGACACAATTTTATATAGGAAAAAGTAGAAGTTCATATGTTTATAATTGAAGCAACAACAGAATGTACCTGTATGTAAGAATAAATAACTTAATAATGCAAATTTTGAGATTTTGTATTAGGATAAATGACGTTTAAAATAACTAAGACATACAGATTAGACTAAACCAAATATAATGGAAATAAATGACAAACAGACTAGAAACGAGGGATAAATTCCATATAAAAGAAACTTTCACCATTTATCATCCGTCATCCACAGTAATTCGCATGTGTAACTGACATAAGTTTTTAACCTTAGATACTAATAAGAACTTGCATATACAGAATTTCAATCGAGATGCAGCATTCTGCAAATATTCAATTAGACGTTTACCAAATAAAGTTTGCAATTTACTTCGTGTTTCCTTTATTAGGCATATTTAACAAGCAGCAAAGATTAAAGGGAAGATTAAATAAAAGGTAAAATAGATCCAGGTCAATTTTACCGCACAGTTTTCTCCTCTGGTCAGTAACTATGGAACTGCCCAATAGAAGGCACGAGCATTCCAGCAATTTGAGACAAACTAAGAGTCTGAGACAACAAACATCATCAGATAACTGGGAGGAACTGAATTCCCTGTTTAAATGTCACCAACCATTTCAAATGACAGATGAGAGAAAGTCTCGAGTACTAAAAAGAAAATAATCAAGGATCTCGATTTGCCTTTTATCTTCTATTTCTTTCCAATCTCAAATCAGAGGATTATGTATGACGATTTAAAGAGAGTCAACCCAGTTAATGGAAGCTTAATTTAGTAGGATCCCTTTCGCCAACTGTACTCCCTTAACATTCTCAATTTAATGTAACAAAATTCCATTCTCATTTTCTTTTTTATGATTTATTATTGTGGGTAGGGGTGGAAATGGACCAAATAATTAACAAATAGTTCGATAATTGTTCGAGTAACTATTCGGTCATATTCGATTCGCTAGTTCATTTACCACTAAACAAATATTTTTTAGTATTCAAGGTTATTAACGAATAGAATTTAACCAGATGTATATTCAATTCGTTTGTCTATCAAATATTCGTTTAAAATTTGAGCACTTATTATTTGTATTATTGCACATATGATGTCATATTTTTAACCTATTTACCATTTATACTTAAGTTTTATGTACTGATTTTAAGACTTAAATAATCTTAAATCTATTTTCTAATGAAAATTTTGATTTAAATATACATACATTATATATTATAAAAGAATAATTTTTATTTATGAATTTAAATATCATTTGAAAATTAAATTCTTTAGCATAATAAATATACTTTGATATTCGAAAAGTATTTGTGAATATTTATCAAACACCAAGTATTCGAGTTCGAATTCAAAAAACTCCATATATGAATATTAGAGTCCGCATTTGAATTCGATAATTTTAAACAAATATAAATACGAACACCTTAGTATTCGATTCGATTCGATCATTTACCACCCCTGATTGTGGGTACTGAGAACTTGTTCTCATTTTCTTTTCTAGGATTTTATTATTGTCGGTACCGTGCTCGTCTCTTTACTTTCAGATTTAGAAAGCTAATCATAGGGTCTAATTTCAGAGGGATTCAAGAAGGCTTCACAAATATTGACACGACTATTACTTAGTTCTCTTCTGCATTCTCATTTAATCCACAAGCTACAGGACAATGTGTTAATCCTTAAAAAAATATCTCATCTTCTGCTGCATGAATGTGTCTTGTTTTAAGATGATCTCCTTAAATGAGACCCCAAGTAAATGGCACAATATTCCACACAAAAAGCTTCCTACTATAGCCTGCCTAAAACTATCTCACTTTCTTCCTATTTGGCCAAAACTCCAGAAGGTTGCAAAATAAAAAACACAAGTACCATCTTTTCCCACTACGCTGGCTGACGTGGTTCTTAATGCACTACCAGTCAATCTCTGAGGTATTTATACTCCTAATGATGCCTTAAAATATCCAAAGTTTTCTTCTGATAGTGGATTGATATCCATTTACCGCATAAACGTAAAGTCATTGGTTGCTTCAATGTTGTTTGATTTACAAGGTCAATAAAAGTATAAGACCATTTTGATTACTTTCTCCAATGTTTACTAGTAAAATGGTCTTTAAGTTACAGTACCTATGTTATAAGTCATGGATCACATATAAAGAAAGCCTTATTGCTTCCCAGACATAAGGAAAGCCCTATGCTGTCCCAAAATAATTCTTTCTTTCTAAATCAGTTTTGAGCTGATTGAAGGTTGGAAGTTGGCTATGTGATTTTTGTGTCATCATATCTCCTAGGTTTCTCTTATATATCAAGACGTGTTAATAACGATTTTTATACAATAAATGCATTCAATTGTTTTATAAGCAAAGCTGGAAGCTGACAGCTAATCAGCAAGTTTCCCCCCAACTCAAATTCATTTTCTTCGAAGGTTCCATCGGGGAAACATTGACAAGGTCTGCTTGTTCAAGTAATATCTATTATGGGTCTAAGATGTTTGAATAGGGCATAGCAGCTCAATGCTCTAAAATTGAGGGATGGAGATCCTCATCTGGTATAAACTGACCTCTTATCCATGGGTTGCATTATGTGTCAAAGAGTTATCTATGATGCCAGCTGCTTATCATGACTCCTAACTTCTCATTTTCTGAAAACCAGAGACATCATACAGTTCGATGCATACAAAGTCCATCAAGCTGCAGGTCTTGGAAGTTGCAATCCATAGTGATTTCATGTCTTATTGTACTGTGATTTATAGCGTTCTGATGCTTAAGGACTGAAATCCAAAATATCTAAGGTTCTTCAAGACTTGGGACAGATAATATTTCCCATGTCAAGACATATGGAAGAATAAGAAATAGATTACAATCTTCAGGAATATAAGATATATAATATGGTTAAATACTTCCTTGGGAACAACTCAGGTCCAAAGCGAAATTCCACCAAGGTCAACTGTTATACAGATATACATTTGCATAGGTTCAGATCTAATAGTCTGAAAGATTAATCATCTTACAGAAAAACTTACATCAAGTTCTCAATATCAGAAGCAAACTGCTCTCAGTAAGTACATAAAGCAAATAAAAACAGAAGAAACCAGAAAACTTGCTATTGATATGCTCCAAAATTAAATAAATAATTGAAATGTGTGAGCAAGAATAAAATAGATCAAATTACATTAATAGATAAATTCAGCACGATCTACACATGCTTCAGTGCAATCGCATGTGGGAGTGCACAAAACAAACAAAATAATTGATAACCTTTATAGCAAAAAAATTTCCTACGGTACCTCGAAAAAGGTGTCACCGTAGCGCGAGAAGTTCAGATCTGAAGATTCAAGGCTTTTAGCTACAAGCTCCTACAAAAAGGTGCAATTCATCATAAAACTAATACAAAGTGCAGAAATAATCTAACAGATAAGTTAATTGCCCAGTAACAAACAACTGTATGAAGGCTAACGTCAATCTGAAGAAGTATATCTTCATCAGATAATTCTGGTATATGATTCCATAGCATCCAACAGATCTAAAAGGTCATTAGATGAGCAGGTAAATCACAAAGATATTTTGGTGCTTTATATTTGTATGTTTTGACATGATGAAGAACCAGAAATCCCAGCATCTTTGAACAAAATTCAAACTTTTTCATGATTATCTCATTCTATCACATAGTAGCTTTTCCTATTTTGTATCATTATCATTCATAAGAAAAGTCAATTATCATCATAATTTATCAAAATTTCACAAGTCGCACACTCGAAAATTCTGAAATTGAAACTTTTTTTATGAACATCTCGCACAACAGAATACTCAGTCGTACCATTTAGCTGAAATTAGTAAACCTTGATTTTCTCTAGGACTAATTTACAATTAAAAAATAAAGCATTTAAATAACTACAAAGAAAACTACAACCATATATATTTAACAGGAAGCATACCAAATCACCAGCATTATCCAGGTATATTTGGACCACTGCATCAGCAAAAGCTGAAGGGTCCAAAGGAGCTGCTATATTCCGTTTGCGGGTCTTGATCCGCGTGCCACTGCATTATCAAAAAGTGGGGGTAAATTATGATAAGTGTCCCGGTAAGCAAGTGATTAGCTTAATTAGGGTTGTTCTTTATAAAAGCATTAATTAGTTAGATGATTAGGGATCCTTCACGACAGCAAGAGCATGCAATTAGAAACAAAATATACTATTATTCAAAATTCAAATCCATTACCATCACTATATATTATTGATGCATTGGTGCAAACAATTGAACTATGTAAAAAAAGTAATAAGTAACTGTCTCTCTTAAAAGTTACATCTATAGTATGAGTTCAAGAATCTCCCTGATAATAACAAATTATTGTTGTTGTTTCTTAGTTAAACACTTAAGATGATCTTATACTATGAAACGATTCTCAAGAATCAAATAAGTAATACCGATAGCTCAAAAAATGATCACATATTAGAAGAAGTTATTCACTAACTAAAATACCACTCAATACCATATCAAATTCATCAACATTTATCACTTATCTTGTTTTTTATGTTAGCTGGATGTGCTCCGCTAGTCACAGATATAGCATAGAAAAAGGCAAAATAATTAGCAAGACGGATCATTGACGTATATATCATTCTCTAGTTACTAATAGTACAAAATTCTTCAGCAATAGTAGTTGAGGTGAAATTTTGCTTCCTGAAAATTTGAGCTTATACATAATGGCTCACAGTGATTAACATAAATGACTCAGCAGCTGAAGAAAAGGACAACTTCCAAAATGGCTAATAAACAACTACCAACAGTATTTAAGCTAATGGGACACAAAACCAAAAGAAATGCCATGTGAGATTATCTCTTCTTTTTTACTCATCAATTATCTATGTCTATTACCAAGAAATAAAGAACCTCCATTTCAAAGAAAATGATTTGAATGATAGTTCTTGGTGTATACAATGCCCTAAAGAGGCAGAAAAGAAGTATTAGAAATATCATGCTCTGCTGAGAAAAATAAAGCAGTAAAAAGCTGATTGTGTCCAATCCTTTTATCCTATGTTCTATTTAAGAAACTGAACAACCATTAAACACAATTACAAAATAGTTAATCTCTAGTAGTGGGCGGTCTTGTATACTTCATACATTCGTCATCTAGGCGAATATATAAGCAACTGGTGTGGACATTGTACTCTAAGCACCATATACGAAGGCAACTGCCTGTGAAAATGATGGATGATCTCACATGGCTGAAATAATATGGAACATAGGAAATTCTAAAACTAGATAAAGCAACTAAGAATTGTTTACAATCACTCGAAGCAGATATGTATGTTTTCCGCATAGATGCTGAAAGAAACCAATGGCAATATGAGATAGACCAAAATTTTAATTCCGACAGATGATAAGAACATAGAAATGAAGCTATAAAGAAGAAAAGATAATTGCAGGCAAACAGTGGATCTCCAAGTCAATAGGTTTTGGACCTCCCGTTCTGATTTCAATCCCAAGTTCTTTTGACTAGTTAAAGATCGAGCGCTTGAAGGTTGAACTTAACAATAGACAAAGCATCAATGCAATGTATAGGCAAACAGAAATCTCGCTTTCACGTGTCAATGTATTACGTCAAGAATAGCAGTGAACGTAGTACTATAAGAGGAAAAAGGTGTGTAACTTCGTAATCATATTCAATTTATATTCTCGAATTCAAATGTCTAAAAAAGCTAAGGAAGAACAAAGCATACTAGAAGCTACCAAAACCAAATTGAATTCCAGACTTCATTCCTCTTAATATTGTGAACAGAAGTTCTTACACAACACAAAAGCCACTTCTTTTCAATTTTAAATTTGGGAGAAGTGAAACCATTGATACTTAATTGATACAACGATCTTACAGCAATAAATCTAAATTAACACAAAGAACGCCATTTTTAAGAATCTGATCTATCGTTTCTTTATCATATTAAAGGAAACCATATGCATAACAAAGCAATCAAATAAAATCATGCGTAGCTTACCCAAGAGTGGGCTTCTCCTTCGAGCTGCATCAATCCATTCAAACAAAAACAAAACGAAACGAAATCAGTCAAAAAATCCAAGATCCAAGAGAAAGTACCGCATATCTAAACGAATTACAGGAAACAATCTCTAAAATCCACTGATCTATTACCCGCGGACGAAGGATAACATCAAAAGACCAGATCTTTGAGATCGGATCGAAGAGGATACGTAAAAAGATGAAATTTTGATAGGAAATCGTGAGATTTTTACCTCATAAACAAGACCGAGAGGGATCGAGGCGGCGAGACGAGGGCGAGGCCTTTCTTTTTAGGGCTTGAGAAATTGAGAGAGGAGGAAGAAAGAGGATAACTAAGGGGGTCGCTTTGCCCTTTTATATTTTGCTTCTTTTATCTTTTTTTTATTCATTTTCTTTTTAGGAAAAATATGCCTAGGCCCAAAAAATAAATAGGATGTGACTACGCCCTTTTTTTTTTTGCCAAAAGCTCCTAATACTCGACTTAATAATGTTTCAGGCCTTTTTTATTTTCCAGACAACACTGAGAGAAAATATAACTCGAAAAGTCGAAATTACCATTTGTACTTGTTCCCCCCAAAACCTGCCTTCCCTCCCCCTCTCTCTCTCTCTCTCTTCTCTCTTCACACGCTCAAATCTCCTAACCTCAAACCTCCCTCAGCTTGAGAACCTATTTTCAAAACCCTAATTTCACTCAAGCGGACAGGAAATTCATAAGGAAAATGGCTTAAAAATTTTAAGTGAAATGGCTAAGAACCCTAAGCGTAGCAAGGATGAAGGAGACAACACTCAAACGGAAGGGGTTCGTCACCGGCGTCGGTTGGCGCGATTAGCGAAGGAGGAACTAACAAACTTATCTGCCTCCGCCTCTGCCTTGATATCTCCTGCCGACGGTTCTCCTCCGACATCCTCTGAGGATGAGGAGAGTAACGAGGCAACAGAAACCCTATTGAGCATGAAAAGACTGGAAATTCGATAGCGCAAGAGGAGACGCTCGCCGGAGGATGTGTCCATCTCGAAGAAGAAGTAAATTCGCAATCAATGGATGATTTTGAATTTAATTGATTTAATTGAGTGATTTTGATTTTGATTGAAGTTTATGGGTTCTTTTTATGAATAAAACGGTGGTGAGAGACTGGTTATTGTAGTGTAGAACCAATTTCTTAATTTTGGAGTAAGGTCTGAACACTACGAAGTATTATCATTTTGGAAGAAATGCATGTCAATAATTCTCATTTGTTGATAGCTAGAAGCAATGCATGTCAATAATTCTCATTTGTTGTTAACGTTTACTCTTAAGTGTCAACTATTAGCTATTCATGTTAATAAAACCTAACTTTTACTAAGTTAATGCATTTACTGTTAATTATTACCTAATTTAAATTTGAACGATTTGTTAAGAGTAAATAGTTGTTTATGCAGGAAAGTTGTTGTTGTAAGTGATATAAGGCCTAGTGCATGTCTTGGATCGTACTGTACTTTCATGAAAAAAACTTCAACCAAAAATAAAGAAGTGATATTAAGGACAGTAACTTTGAGCACTATGTATTGTTCGGACCTCCAGCACGTGATGGACGGGCACTAGAGCATGTGCTCAGCCATTATGCTAGCAAAACTGATAAATTCTCTTTTTCCGATCCTAAAACCGAGTCTATATTTTTAGTCAAATTTGATGAAGAGTGGGTGCAAACTCACACGGGCTTCCCTATTGATGGGGAGTTGATCTACGAGAATAAAGACCCTCAGAACCGACTTTAGAAGGAGTACTTTGAAGAAAAGAAAGAAATGCTAAAGGCCAAGTCAAAGGCAAAGACCAAGGCTACAGAAGAAGCTGGTAGCATGAGGATATATGTTGAAGAGTTACTGGAAACACTTGTTGAGTCAAGAGATAATAAGAACATTGAGAATTTTGTGATGCTGCAGATCTTGTACCAGTCTGTAATGATTGGGGTCCCAACAGCTCACAAGGCATCCCAAGATAGTTGTTTCAATATGTAGATAGTATTGAGAAAGTGAAGAATATTGTGTGTGGTATATTTATTTTTGATGAAACAAAGAGAAGCATTCAAATTGTCGTTGAAGGGTTGAGGAAGCTAGGGGTTACATACGTACCTGGATGCATGCCGCTCATCCCTGTAAGTTGCATGATCATATGGTTTGACATTTGTTTTAGTATTAGTAGCCTTGGTAACATGCATTAGAAAACATGTACAAGATTGAATGTTAACAGGATATGGTTAAAATTAACATGTTAACATGAAATTTAACATATAAAAATTAAAGTTAACATTAATAGATGAAAGTTAACATGTACCCATTAATGTTAACATGTAATAGTGAAAGTTAGCTATTTAGAATGTAGTTCAAGAAAGAGTTCTGAAAGTTAACTATTTGACTTTCGTTCCTTCGATTTTGACTGCTATGATACTATGAGATGACGGGCATTAAAAAACTAGGCCTAAACTTGAGATGGAAGCCTCCGTTGACCAATTGGGTAAGGGTCGGAGGGACGACTGGATCGTTGAGGAGGGAGACAATTGTCTTAAGGCTAAAAAAGCAAGCATTAAAATTATAGAGAAACCAATTTCTCCTAGCAGCCCATGGGGTAAAAAATACCCTCAAAGGGAGCCCGGCAAGAAGAAGAATGAAATCGCTTGCTTTGGGGAAAAAAGAATCCAAACGGTCTCATCTAGGAGTAAAGTTATGGAGCAAACTAGGCCGAGGAAGAAGAATGAGAAAGAAAAGGTAAAGGACGGGAAGCAAGAGAAGGTGAAGGGCAGACTAAGGAGCTCATCTGTAGGCTACGTAAGCATCAATGACTCTTTACACATTCTTGCATACTTATATTGAGTTAAATTTTGTAACTTTATCATTAATTCATTTTCAATTTGCATTGTTTCATGTTAACTTTCTTTGGGTAAGATAATTACATTGTTACATGTTGAGTTAGTATTAAATGTAAATGATCAGTAGAACAAGTGAATAAATAGCATATCATGATAACTTTTGCCCTTTTATGTTATCTTTCATGATTACAGCTTATATGTTAATCTTATATCTTAGCTTTAGTTATGTTCATGTTAATTTTAAGTTTAACATGTTAACTTTCATTCTGGCATGTTAACATATAAAATTTTATGGATTTTCATAACTATTTTCCTTAATATTGTGGATTTACATGTGTAATGGGTATATTGTTTATTTTTCAGATTTTCTCACAGCATATCAGAGATGCTTTTGAAAGAGAAGATGAAATAGAGAAGTTGACAAGTGAAGATCAAATTCATTTTTGAAGGAATACGGCCAAACTAAATTGGAAATTCCTCCACGCTGTCAATCATAGCAAGCGTCTTCAATGGGATGCTTGCTCTAAGGAAATACAGAGGCTGAACAAGAAATTGGAGCTCTATGAAGGAACCGCTGACTTGATTGACCCCGAAGACCTGAAGAAGAATGTGAGGGCGATTATGTCACAGAATGATAGGCATATAGGATCTGCACAAACTTAAGTAAGAAGGAGTATTGATTCTATTGATATTGGTGACGATGTAAATTGCTTCGATTATGATGATGTAACCAATATTGGTAAGGAAACCTCTCATATTGCAGAGGCTATTGCGTAAGCAGAGAATGAGATAGAGAATGTTGAATGGCAAGAGATGGAGGATGAGAATGTGGAGAAAGTTGTAGAGAGTGAGGAAGAGAAAGATGAAGAGGAGAAAGTTGCAGAGCAAATGGAGGAGAAAAATGAGGTACAAGTTTATCAGAAGAGATCAAAGAAATTAGTTTCAACGGGGACTAGGGGACCAAGTACAAGGGACGTGATCACAACTAGTCCGAACCCCTTTTACTGAAGAAAAGAAGAAGGAAGTTCGTCAAGAGATAATTAACATATCACACCACAAGGATGAAGAGAGGGGGGAAATCAGGTACTATTGGAAGCCCAATGAATGCACTTGGGATTTTCTGAAGAAGAGGAAAATCAAGAAGAAGGAGGAGGCTCTTTTGAAGTTTCTAAATGAGGGTATTCCTAACGTTGATGATTTTAGTATACGTTTGATTGATAGTGAAGAAACATTCGTTCATAACTTTAGAGTACCCCATCATGTAGCGGCAAAGCTCATACCAGATGAGAACAGATGGATCTCTCAGTTTTGCAATCAAAAAGCCCATCGGTAAGTTTAGACATTCTAAATAACGTTTGCTAGAACATGTTAGCTTTTACTGTTACATGTTAATGTTTCCAGGTTTATGTTAACTTATACCCATTTATGCTAATGTTTGGTAGAATATGCTAGCTTTTACTGTTACATGTTAATATTTCCAGATTTATGTTAACTTATACCCATTTATGTTAACATTTGCTAGAACATGTTAATATTTCCATATTTTTCTATATCCAGATTTATGTTAACGTTTGGATCTTACTGTTATGTTTTAGGTCACGTATTATTGTTAATACGGTGAACAGTAGTGTCGATTCTTTGGAGCTTCTTTATCTTCTACGTGGCGGCCGTACCAATGACCATGCAAGTTTAATATGTTAATCTTTTACTCATTTCTGGGATTTTTTTGGGTGTTGTGTTGTTATGCAATTTAATTTGCATCTCCTCCATGGTAAATTTACAAGTCATGGAAGCTCTTGTAGATAGGCAAAGCACATGGCTAGAGAGGCCAAAAGTTGCGACTCTAGGCATGAAATATGGGGTTGTATTAACATTCTTCTGCGTAAGCATTAGGTTCAAACTCCTAAGCTTCTTTAACTCCTATTTACAACTGGCGTAACATTATTTTCTTGGTAATACAGCATAGCCTTTATGCAATGACCCCAGATTTTCCACATCTATACACCTCATTCATACAAAAGTATGTTCCCACGAGGAAGGGTGTACTCCTTATCTCGCTTGTGCATCATGATCACTGGCATGTTGCTGAAGTAAGGTTGGATGGGGATGTTATCAAGCATTACAGCTCGGTTGGCCACAGTGCGTACATTGAACCGGTAAATAAAATAATTAGTTTCATGGATCATATGAAGTCTGGTTTTGATCCCAATAATGTTTGGAGAAAGTTCAGATATGAAGTCGTCCCTTACGAGCAACAGACTGTAATGTTAGTATTTCACATATTTAAACTTTTCATTTTATTCAGCATCATATATCTAACTATCTTTCCATTTTATATCATGCAGGTTTGATTGTAGGCTTTTCTTTCCTTTATATATAAAGGCTATAATACATGGGGTTGATACGATTCAGGTAACTAATCCCGCAGACGAGTCTGACATCATCCGTTCCAGGCTTGCAATTGAACTCCTAATGGAAGGATGAGAACAGAATAATCAAGGGGAGACATTAG